GCAGCGCGCGGTGATGAAGGTGAAAACTGCCAGATACGCATGGTAAATACGACGGAAGCGAGGGGGCCACGGATCACATGGCCCGCGAGTCCGCCGATCTGGTTTCTGGAGCCCGCTAGCAGAAGAACCCACTCATGCCACGATGAGCAGCTCTCCGGGCGGACCCCTTTACTCTCGCCATGTGGCTGAACTGCCTTGCCAGTAGTAGTAATAATGGACGAGGATGTGTGTTAGTGCATCGCACTACTGGTCGCACCGTGGCTGCAGTCGGCACGGTGGAGAGGGTGGAGTGGTCTCTTTTGTCCAAACAAGAATATCCATGCAAATCGCATGGCAAGGGAAACAGTAAGTTTTGGGTTCTGTGACGCATTTGGGGCGGGCACCCACAGAAGTCTCAGGTGTTATTCTACCGACTATCGGCGAAATTGCTCGTGGAAAAGAATCTTTTCGACATGCTTTCTCGTACAAATCATGTACTTCGTTCTGTAAGGCTGTGGCGGTGGAAATCGGAACAACGTACAGGATGCTGCACTGCCGTGCCTCGTTAATTTGGCAATACGGGGTCAATTGCGTCGGGGACAGCTGTTGATGTCAGCCTCTGATTAAACGTCCGCCGCATTGTCTCCCCCCTGAGCCGAACTCAATACTCGTCAATGTCATAGAGGATTCCCCTGATAGGAGTGAGTCTAGTGTCCAGAAGGGCAGCAGACCAGAAGCTTACTTTTAGCATGCTATTGGTTTCGCTTTGGATCGTTGCCAACTTCATCCAGTTGCTGTAACTTGTTAGCCTTGTACATCAAAAGATGGGTTGGGCGTAGCTCGAAGGACACCTACAATGCTTTCGGCGGGGGCGAGGAGGTTGACACTATGGTTAAAAATGTCAATGGAGCTGGACACAAATGCCTTTTTTTTTCGATGTCGTTGAAATGTTGTTAGACGCCTCCCAGCCACAACGCGGAGGAGACTCCATAATATCCGCCACAGTGGCGTTGGTAATAGTAGTAGGCGTGGCTTGAAGGACGAATTCAATTACAGCAGTATGACGGAGCGGAATGGGCACCCTCGCTACGATCGTCTCTCGGTGCGAAATCTACGTACAGATCGACTACCTACCTAGATACCTAGGTAGGTACTTACTTATGTACTTCTGGCACCTAAACTCTATAAGCTGTCCTGTGGTTGCTGATGAGCTAGGAGACTGTCACCAGAACCAGGGCCCGCGCGCGTATTGGGTAGGCATGATGTTTGATGGGCTGGGGAAGCGGAATGCAATAGGCTGATGCGGTCTGTGCGGTGCAGATTATACTAAATATGTACAATGTACAGTCCAACCCTTGAATTATTCTGCATTCGTGACCTAGCAGGGGGGCTAATAACCAATAAAATAGGTTTTTGGAATCAAGGAGTAAAACCTTTAAGTACTTGGGGTTTTTATAGTACTTCTTAATAAGTTTACGTCTTTATTATAAAGTAATAATTCAAGGGTTGGATTGTATGTACATACGTACATGCCCTGGGTCGGGGTTGGTTTCTGGCCACAAGGCTAGACTAGACGGCACTGACGGATTCGCACAGACTAAAGTCGTTCATATGTACGTGTGTATGTATTTCCGGGAAGCTCATGGGAATATGGAACCAGAGGCAACGTAACAGGGTCTACGAAAGACAGATCATAGGACGAGTCGGTTCCCAATTCCGAATCTTTCCAGATCATGATGCACGTTGTTCATGCGCCTATAGCGGGCTGTGGGCTTCTCTGTCATGTCAAAGTTAAACAAACCACACCTTCAAGCATCAGCACTCGAGAGGTTCAAATGTCTGTAATGTACAGGGAGGGAAGGAAAGACGGAAAGACCTGCCCGATAGTCGTCACTGACCCACTGCTCGCGGTGGACTAGCAGGGGCCTGGACCAAGCGTGTAGCTGCAATCTCGGAGCCACGGCTAGCAGCGACCCGTCGACCTCTCAGAGCCCTCGCAGCGGCTATGGGCTACAGGGTTCGCGTTCCAGAGCGCCGCCTCCCGACAACGTGCCCATCTGCTCCATGGCTGCGTGGGATATGTTTTCTATTCCTGTCAACCGTCCTGAACAACCAAAGTCCGTCCCCGGTAACAGTCAAATACAATACCCATGCCTAGCGGACCCGTACCAGCATCGCCCTACCCCTTGTTCATCTCCTGGTCGGACCGGGCCTATTGCAGCGCAAGGTGGCCCCTACGTGCACCTAGGTAGGACCCAGGCTTGCGAGGTCTCGACTATCGCACCAGACACATTATGCACCACACCGTGGGGCTGTAGACTGTGCTATCGGGAACATTGAAGCGACCAAACGTCCCGTCAAGCCCTGGAGTCCTCATTATTGTACGGAGTAAGGCCCTCCAATGTCGGAGCAGGCTCATGATTACGTACATATGCTACTGGTTTGAACAGCGCAGGCGTACGCCCAATGATGGCGCCAGCAGTCATCTTATCGCGAACGGGATCGACTATCAGCGCCTGGCTGGGTATCTGATGTCTTACGGAACTACCTTGGGTCCATGGCCAGGTCGCCAACAAGAGAGACACACCTAGGTAGTCTGCGCCCAAGAAGAGCGACGCGGGTTGTCCTCTTCAACCACATCTGGGTTTCGTATAAATCACTATATATCCTGCAACATGTGCGTGTTGCAGTCACCGCGGGCTAATCTTGATATGAGATATTATGCCATGGCATGTTCCCAACAGGACAGCCGCAGTTGCGCCCAAGTCTGCTCGTGAGGACGGCGAGTTCTGAAGTGGCAACCAACAATCCCAAGTAATACTGGGACAAGAGGGAAGCTCGACGTAATACCTACACGCACTCACCATGTTGTCGCCGATGGACAAACAAGCAAACCAGTAAGCAAACAAAACAGCCCTGTTATCTGCTGACTACCGCACGTAGAGGAACATAAATACCTACTTGGGAGGTATATAACACCCGATTAAATAACACCTAGTACCTACCTGGGTAGATAGGCAGTCGATATGTGTACATTTATACGATGCGGGCGAAAATGTGTTGCCGTGCAGCTCCCAGCCACACGGTCAATGATGGTGTCAAGACGCCAACACCACCACCTCCCAAAGATGGGAGGCCACGGAGCCAGTGTTCCTTCGAAAGCGAGCGCAATACGCATAGTGACGCCATCAGGGCGATTGAGCCAAAATAACGCGCCTACTACGTACGAGTGCCTACGTCATTATGTCAAAATGCTCGAGTGCCAGAGGTCAATGGGACGGGCATACATGGCCTGTGGCTTCACTAGGAGATGGGATATTGGGATATTGGGATATTTGGCTAGAGCCACGTGTTGTAAGCGAGGTGGTTTTTTTTTTTTTTTTTTTTCACATTCTCCCGGGATGCCTTCACCATGCAAACATGCAGCATCATGTATGAAGACTCCGACGGCTGCTTGCGAACAAGCACACAACACAAGCTTCAGCCTAGTGGCCCCAGGCGGTGAGTCTCTGTGCGTCGCGTCTTCATTTAATGCTTATCGGAAATCACATACATAATTCACATACATAAATCAAATACAACACAGCAAATACTCTCTCTCTTTAGCTGCCAAACGGCTCGTGGAGACTCGCTTACCTAAGAAAATTGTATGGCAGAGGAGGCCCCACGAGCCATTTGGCAGCCGAAGATATCCCGTAACGTTTCAGTGGTTTCTCTGCCCTTTTCCTTGTCAAGTCCACACCGATCACGCCACAGCCACAACCACACACCCAACGCCACCGACCCCCCTCCCCTTTGCCGCCGGGTGGGACCTCGGTGGAGTCGACTGCCGCCTGCTTTATGTACAGTGTACTTAGTATATACCTAAGTACTTAGAGCACATAGAGGTAGGTGTATGGTCTGGTCCGGTCTGGTTTAATTGATGTTCTTTTGCTGCTTCTCATAATATGGTACCTAGGTACTTCAGCGAGTAGGCCAGTCCATGGACGCCACCGTCAGGTTCTCTGTTTTATTATTTTTGCAACCTGAGCACCTACCCAGGTAGGTAGGTGGTCAAGTGCATACAGTATAAGTACGTACTTGGCTACTCAAGTGCTTAGAGCCCAAGCCACAGACGTTTGATATCAAAACTATGGCCTCTAAGCACGGAAATGTTCAATGTTGTCATGCAAGCACCTGGAGGTCACCGAGGCCGCCGCACTGGCCAGTCTGCAGGTGTCAAGATCAGCATCGCCATGACTGCAAACAGCGGGGGTTGACCTTTGGGGAGGAATTGACTTCTCTTGAGCCCCGATCCCTGCTGTTGAATTGGCGCTGTACGGGATATGTGTGTATGCATGTATGTGCTTGAAAATTCAAATGTCTGGTTGGCGTGCATCCAGAAAAGACAAAAGTCAAGCCCAGGCGCTGCCGAACTGACCTCGGACGTGTCGAGTCAGTCTGCAATATCCGTCAATCAATCAATGGCTCCCATCTCCGACCCAGCCACACCTCCCCAACAGCGTGTCAGTGTCTACCTAAGTACCAACGCGCGGGCTCCTGATCATAGCGGCAGCACGGAGTACTATATGTACTAAGTACTTATATTTGTGTGCATATGTACTCCGTACAGGGATCACAAGAGGTTCTAAATTATCACGGGGTGTTATAAAGCCCGATACATTAAATGAAATTTCTGACACACAGTCTTCTCATGGCTAATAAGGTTGGTGGCAGTCAGGGAACCACCCCCCCTGCGTATTCTAGGCGTCTTGGCAGTGCTGAACTTGTTCACAGGGTCCAGAACCAGATATGAAGTATGTACATATGCATGTGTACTTAGTATCTGGTCTGGTCCTTTCTGGCCCTGGCCTGGCCCTTGTTCGCTGTTTATGCCTGCACGTGTCTAGTGTCCGTCCTGTGCCCAGTGCCCAGTGCCCAGTCAATGCTTAGTGCCTACAAGGACCTGCCCCCGCCCACCAGCTAGCTAGCCTCTGCTCTGCTCTGTCTGCCGGTGCCGCCTCTCCCGCCCTCTCTCGCGCATGTCTGGTTACAAGAATCCCGGTGCATACTCCCGCATTCAAGCGCCAGGCTACAGGCCAGATGTTTGTTGTCTGCGAACTGCCTGGCCATCGGCCATCGGCCATCTACGATGTAGGTGTGGCCTGCAGCTAGGGGTGAGGGTGCTTCTACATAAAGTAAGTAGGATCAATGATGGCCCCACTGGTCCGTTATGGAGTAAATACTAGTAGTAGTACTCGAGTACTCGAGTACTCCGTACTCCGTACCTGATGTCACTGAGCTAGCCCTGGATACTACTCCGTACAGCAACGCGTCTGGTCTGGTCCTTAGCGCTGTCTGGTCGGTGTGAATGCCTGGGTCAACATGGTTTTCAAATTTCGAGCGCACCTCCGTACATGTCGCTGCTCAGGTGCTCTATTGCTCGAGTGGCTTGGCCCCTGTCATTCTCCGATTCTGGCATTCCGCTATTCCGCTGTTTCTCCATGTCCATGTCCCATTGTGCGCCAGCGCCTCTGGACCGCTCGACACTCCCCAGGGCCAACATTACATTGAACCAGACGTTGAAGCAAACGACCAACTGACTGCCAGCCCTGGACTTTCTCTTCCGCGCGCCGTGCGTCAACCTCAACCTCGTTCTCATCCTCTCTACCACGTCACTTCTCCTTCCGGTCGTTTCTTGTCACGCCCTGTATATTTTCTCCGTCCGCCGCTGTGCCTAGCCATCGCGTTTGCGCTCCAACGTCCACCTGCGACTTACTATCGGTTTTAGCCTTTAGCCGCCGCCGTCTGTTCTTGTCGCCTTGCGCTTCCTCTTTGGAGCTACTACCAGGTCCCCCCGTTGCTCCTAGCTTACTCGCCCCAGTTCTTGGTCTTGCCTCGCGCCTCATCTTCAACTTATAAGGCACATGGGTTCCTGACCTCTGCTTACACGACGATTTACATTATCTGCGGCGGAAGAAAAAAAAAGGAAGAGAGAGAAAAAAAAGACACGACAGAGTATTTGGTAACGAGTCTTGTCGAGCCAACCCGGCGAAGCAGACAGATACCTGTTGCCACTGCGCTGCGGCATTGCGGTATCTGCTGGGTTGTCACATACGTCCAGTCCGCAGCACCATGTTTCGGCAAAGGCAAGAATCTCCCACCACTGCCCTTACTTAATTCCTACTTGAGCGGAAGTTCTCTCCTTGCTTGGCAATTGTGCCAATACCGCCCCATTTCCAAGTACTGCGCGTGCTTGGTCGCCTCCAAGACCTGGGCTTGGACTGGGGGCCCTATATCGCTAACACACCATTCATTGCCTTTGCCAGTGACTAACCTGACTGCGTGAAACTAGAACAAGCTCACAAAAGCCGGGCGATGACCTGTTGGCCAACTTTAGGCAACAATTTCCGGAAGTTGCTGCCGTCACCTCGGAAGCGTCTGCACCAACTATTGCTCAGGCTGCATCTGCCGTCGACCACCCCATCATCAACCTCCCCCCTCAGGATCAGAGGTATGTGTGCCTAGCTTTCTCCCTCCGGAGGTGCAGCCGACCTCTCTGCTCGAGGGCAAATTTGGCCTTGTTTGTTCATGCCGAAATGCGGTGTTTGCACGTTTTCGCTCGTTAAAACAGGCATTACCGTAGCGTGACCCGGGGACTGACCTGACTGATGATAACCTGCAGGAACCCAAATGTCGAAACCGACGTATTTCGAGACCAAGATCCTACGCCCCGAGCATCTCATGAGCCATGGAGATTCACCCCTTCCCTCCTGGACCCGAACTCGTATGCTTTCAATGCCTTTGCTAGTACCCAACCCGGGTATTACGTGCCAACCCCCGGGGGAAACAACCCGCTCCTCCATTCGCAGGCAGGAGACTTGCATACCCCGACAATAGCAGCCGGTGGACTTTCTACGCCGCTGTCTCTACCAAACTCTGGCGATGCGCTTCATGCTGGCGCGACTGCCATGGACTTGTCCGGGTTCCAGGCCCTGCCACCCCACCAGTTCCATCACTTCAATCCATTTATCCATGGAGCAGCCTTTGCGACCACTTCGTTTGTCCACCAGGATACTGGATATGAAACTATGGATCAAGATGGTGTTGTCTTGGAAGCAGCACCGCCAGAACACCGCGTGCCCTCGATGGTCCCAGCGGTCCTGCAGCAGCCGCAGGCAGTTGGCCATATGATGCAAATGGGCCACGCACTGCCGCCGAATGCCGAGAAATTTCGTTTTCACTGCACCTTGAATGCGCCTACCGCCATGATCAAACAAGCCGATGAGATCCCGATAACATATCTCAACAAGGGACAGGCTTATTCACTCTCGGTTGTCGACACAAGCGGAACCTTTCCGATTCCACCTGGTACCAAGTACAGGACCTTTGTACGTGTTTCATTCGAGGATGAGGAGCAGAGACAGAAATCTAGTGTCTGCTGGGGCCTGTGGAAAGAAGGCAGAGGCACCAACGAGGCCCATCATAGAGGTGGCAAGCTTCAAGCCGTGGAGTACGTCGAAGCGGGCCAACCGGCAGAGAATGACGATAAACGAGCACGCATCGAGGTAGAAAGTGCATCATTTGATGGGTTTTGCGTTACGTGGACTCCAGGAGCGAGTGGTTCTCATGACGTCAACCTTGCCGTTAGATTCAACTTCCTGTCCACAGATTTCAGCCATTCAAAAGGAGTTAAAGGAATTCCGGTACGACTGTGTGCGAAGACTAGCCTTGTACCCGCCGATGGCTCCTTACAAGATGCAGAATCGAGCTCTGAAGTTTGCTTTTGCAAAGTCAAACTTTTTCGAGATCACGGAGCTGAGAGAAAGCTGTCCAACGACATTGCCCACGTCAAAAAGTCGATTGATAAGTTGAAGCAGCAGCTTGCACAGATCGAAAGCGGCATGAAGGACATGGGTAAGAGAAAGCGGATCAGCAGTGCTACCAAGGGAAGCGATCCACAGCGACCGGGAAAAGTGCAGAAGCACAAACGGACCTGGTCCATGTCGTCGACTAGCTCTAATGCCGGGTGCGGTGGAAGTCGCATGACTTTGGAAGAAGACCTGCAAATCAAGCTGCAAACGCTGCAAGATATGTTTACAAGCACCAGACCCGTCAGCATTCTATATCTGAGAGGAGAGGACTTGGACGATCCCGACCTTCACCCCGTATCTCTTCCCGGAGATATGTCTCCTCCAAACAAACTGGAAGTCTCCCGTGAGGGACCTAACTGGCAAGCTCGCAGTACGAAATCCTCGGTTGCAGGGTCCATGGTATCTCCATCGCCCAGCTCCTTGTCTCTCGTCTCTCAGGCATCTGGCATGTGGCAGAATATCGATAACACCACCGCTTCAGGGAAGGCATTTGAGCAAATATCAAGAATACCTCGAATGGACGATGCTGGCACCTTGAGTGGATGGATCGAGGCTCTTGGGGTTGATCCGTCATATCGGCCCCCCGCAGAGCAGGCTGAAAAACCTGTTGCCTGTTTCTATGTCCAGTATCGCGACAAGTCAGAGCAAGGGAAACCGACATATTACCGAGCCATTTATCTTTCGAAGCGAACCGTAGAAGAATTCAATGGTCGGATTTCTAGCAAATGGGGCGTTGAACCTGCGAAAGTTTTGCGCTCTCTACGTGTAATCCAGGGAGGGCTGGAGGTTGAAATGGATGATGATGTTATCCGTGAACTCAGGGAAGGGCAAGATATGCGACTGGAAATCGAAGAGGTAATTGAACAATCCTCGCAGACCAAGCGCGAATGGGAGATGTTATTGGACGAGACCGGAGCTGATGGCGACGACGTTGCACCTTTTGCGAAGGGCTTTGTGCTTCGGCTGACCTTTTAATGAAACTGCCGTCATATTCCTCTACCGACTCTGTCATCATCCAAAATGACATGCAGCGGGCGTAGTTGAGCGCTGCTTCTCTCCCGCCAAGTTTTCAAACAAAACAAAAAACAATCAAAGCATGATCATCACAATGTACTTGGGTTCATTCCGAGGTATCAACGCACCCCAGTACACGATACACATTTTAGCGAGGAGCGATAACTTTGGAGTTTGGTCTATTCTTCTTCTTTCTTTTTTCTTATCGATTCCCCTATATAATCGGTTATGATATACCACGGGCTGCGGGTCTACAGAGCATCCGTTCTCAAAAGACAAATATCGATGTTGAGAGAATGAGAGAGAATGCAAGGAGGCGGACTACTCAACATCAACCAATTATATTTACGCTTTGTTTCATACGGCTTGAAGAACAAAGCAACTTGTGTCGTTGGTGCTACCAAGCGCAGAGACGGAGGCGGACATTGCTTCTAAGCTGGGGTTTTGGGCACACTGGGTGTGCCTGATTTTTATTTTTCATTTTTTTTTTTTTTTTTGCCATGTAATCACGGGCAGCTTTTGTGTAAAGATTTTTTTGTACGCCTTTTACTTGATTGTATTCGATTTGCATTAGCAAGTAAAGATACAGGGGAACAAGGGATTGGAGATACCCATGGTCTGGGTGTCGGAGTTGCTGGATTGAGCAATAGCTGTAGATTTATGAGTGATTACGACGACGACTGGGTTTGACGGATTGGTTGGCTGATGGTAGAGCGAGAGGAGTTCGGTCTTGTCCTCTGCTATTTGGCAGAGCATTGTAAGGCAATGTACTTGAAGAGTATTTACCGAGTACAACATTGTAGGGAGTGAAGAGAGGAGCTCAAGCTCGATTCAGGAAAACAAATTATTCGCTGTGGCCATCAGCGTTACATTGCATGCTACAGTGTGGACGACCGAGTGGGACGAAACGGGACGAAGCGGGATGGAGTCGTCCTGTTGGAGAGGAGGAGCTTGTGGCTGACGGCATCGGGGGGTGGGGTACTCTGAATGGCTGAAATACCAATGCGCCAAGTGGGTCTTTGTAGCCGGTGTCCCCAGGTCTACTCCATATTGACTGGCTATCGGCTGCATTACCAGACTGACTTCCGGCACATGACAACTCTTGACCGCGTCCTGGGAGAAGTTTTCTGTCGTTAGAAATAGGGACCGCGCCGCACAGGCACCTACATGATAGGTAGCTAGGTAAGTTGATGGGATTCTGAGATGGATGGGACGCACGGAGAAGATGGCAGGCACAGGCTGCAACATGAAAAAGTCCAGACGTGAAGCGTTTATTACCTAATGTAGTTGCATGAGCCGCTAGTCCGGAAATGACTACAACATGCGAGTCTCGTTTGCTCAAGTGCTCCACACTCCCAAGGCAGCACAATTCAGCATGATATGTCGCAGGCTGTTCAAAAGTTTAATATATTAAAAGAAAATCCCGCACTGTTTAAGAAATGTCTCGGATTGACTCTTCCAAAGTATAATAAATTAACAAAAAAACAAAAAAGAAAAAACTAAAAAGAAAAACTCCGATGTAGCTGACGTGGACGATAGTCACTAGAAGAATACCCTTGGGCCGGCGAAGGCACTGGGTTACCTGCGGAGTACCTATGCGGTCTAGGAAGGTGCCTATGCATGTACATACCTACTTAGGCAGCACTCCGTAGGTAGGGCTATAATACAGATTTATGGTAGTTGCTTGTGTGACAGCGGAAAGGAGCACTTGCTCCTTGCGAAATGCGACCAATGACGGGGCGCAGCGCGCAGGTGCGGAAAGCAATTGTTGGTGGTGGTGGTGTTTTGTACTCCCCGGGGCGTGAGGCAGGTGGAGCGCAAGACTGTTCACAACCGCCTACTCCGTATCTAGCGCCAGGCGGCATGAATATTCATTGACTGCTTGAAGCGGTTTATTTCTTCAAGCGCCAAGGAGTCGACGCCAGCTGGGAAACACCCCGGGGAGGGGTGGGTGACAATTAACGCGTCAATGCTAATATCCGGCGAGCGCGGCTCGTCGCTGCATTAGCCACAGCCTCGACGGGGCAGGGATGTGTTGCGAAACGACATCTGGACCCAGAGAGGGGTGTGCATGTAGCGAGCAGCAACGTCCTGCGACTGTCTGCGCCGTGATGCCTCCAGATACATATGTAGCATGATGACTGCGAACGTTCTGGACTTGCGGGGGGTAGAATGGTGCAGTGTGGCTCAACTGGCACGCGAGAGATTTACATGATATTTTTTGCGAGACGGCATGCATATTGCCCGAATGTACTCCGTAGACATTGACGTCTATGCATGCCACGGCCCGTCCGACAGGCTGAGCCCGGCATCTCCAGCAGCTTTCAAATTGCGTCCTTGGCCAATCTTGTTTCATCGCCAACACTGCCTGTTGTATCTGCCGCGGCCGCCCCCTTTTCTCGTGAATACAGAACACTACCCACGTCCAACATTGAATCCTCCGCGCTTGTAATATCATTGATGCCTTGAACTTGACCTGCAAGACGATGGTCCCCTGACTCCCCTCGATCCCCGCTGGCCATGTGCCGTCCCTCTGTGTCCATTTGGGGGAATGTTACACAAACCATCGACGCCTGATCCGTCGTTCCCTCCAACTGCGCGAGGAGTGCTCTTGCCCCCGGTCTTTGAAGCCCGCCACCAAGAAACTGGTCTTCCACGGTGGTAAGTAGGGCCCGTGTACTCTGTATACCGCGCCCATCTCGACGCGGACTGGAGTTGGACAGTCGTGGTGGCCGAGTATTGCAGCACCTCGCCGCCATACCAAGTTGTTCGTCAACAACTACTTCATAAATGAACGGGTTGTGACTTTGAGCCCGCCGGCCTGCCGAATTTTCGAGCATCACGCGACTCGTCGATCATTGATTGCCTGATGACCTCTGCCGAGTACATCCCCCAAAAGGACGGCCCAACCAGCGTTCTTGACGAGAGACACGACCCCGACTGCGACCGGTCACATATTAGTTGGAAACGCACAAGCCAATGAGAGACAGGCACTCGGACGGATTTGGGAAGTCTTGCTTGCGTCGGGAATACCGTTCGACGAGACCTTTTGGGCGTCTTGGTGCGACCGCCGTGGAAAGCAGGTCCAAGACAAAATGGCCCGATTTAGGACGACATGAAAGCACCGCCTGCCAATGGACACTGAACTTTGAGCTTGGCCTGCTTGTGCTAGCAGGCGCTGACAGCGCGACCATCTCAACATGAAACGGAGAAACTAGGGCATATATAAACTGTTTGACAAAAACAGGCCCACCAAGTGCTAGATGGATTTGTGTGCTTATTGATGATACTTGCCATCGTCCTTAGTACAAACACGCACAGATGGCTCTTGTCCCGCGGCAGAAGGGGTGTCCCATTTGCCCAACGGTATTCGCCGGAGGATCGACAGCCAAGGTGTTTGAAGAAGATGAATGGACGCCACGTTCAATTTTGACACGTCTTTTCAATACAAGGCTGTGCAAAAAATTGTCCGGCCAGCCGGCAAAGGAAAATCTGTGAAGAGGGAGAAAAAAGAAAGGTGAACCAACTACACAGTCACCCATGAATCTAGTGTTCCACCAGACACCCCGTCCCGTCCCGGGGTTGTTGTACTTGCAAAGATTCCAGAACCTTCTTTGTGTACCGAGTCGTATAAATTGACAGCTCTAAAGGCCTCTGCTTCCTGGTACTATCCGAGGTGGAACAGGTGCATCCTTGGGGAGGAACGATTTAGCAACACTATGGGTTTTCCAAACATGAAATGGACTTTGGGTCACTCACCAGTCTTCTCTGATGCCTGGGAATCGTGACGGATGCACCGCCTGAGGCATGTTTAGATCCCCAGCCAGCATTTCCAAGTTCTCGTAGGCATGCTCCCTGGCCGCCTCCCCGCACATGTCGGTGTTCTCAATGATACTCAGGGGCCAGGCCAGACTCCTGCCCGAAGGCGCGAATCGTCGCCCGAAATCGTCCACCTCCATGAAACTGGGGATGCTGGCGAGAACCCCCGTTGTGATGGTCTTTATGTTTTCTCTCGCGTACTGCTGAAGCCCGGACAAGTAATCAGCCAGGCTGGCTTCGCCATCGGGCAGACGAAGTCGAGCGAGATCAGGATCCAGCTGCCCGGAGGCGACTTGCCTGATCAAGACGACTAAAAATATGCGAAGAAGCCGAACAGTGTTCCACAGTTTGGCGACGTACGCGCTGGGATAACGATGGCAGACTCCGCCATACGCCCAGCCAGGGGCATGAGAACTGGGCTCGACCGCGTACGACATCCAGGCGGGACACTCATTGGAGAAGGCGACAATTCGGCGGTCGAGTTCCAGAGCCTCGTGGACTAGATTGCAATCAGGGCCAGCCACGGCCCTTGCCTTGATGGAGGCAAGCTGCTGAACCATGGGCGCCAACTTGACAGGGGCATCGTTGGGGTCGTGCAGGAGTGTGAGCTGCTTGTCCAACGCGACGAAGTCGTCTGGCACCGGGATCGACCTTTGAATGCAGCTAGTTTTGATGTTGTTGCTGGCTTGGGCGACCATTTTACGGGAGAGGGGGCACTTGAACTGCTGCGGCCCTCGCAATCTCAGGAGCTGCATGGCACCGACGGTGTGTGCCGTCCAGCTCGTGGGCGACTTGCCGGCCTCAAAGACAATGGCCTCGAACAGGCCGAGCACCAAGACGGAGACAAGTGTTCTGTCGAGGACCGCGGCTTCGGGGCTGGACAACAGCTCGTTGACCCGGGTCAGTGCGACTGCGTACTTTTGCCTTGCGCGTTCGAGATATTCGGCGGACCGGACGCGGCGTGAATATGCGGCCAGCGCCGTGGCCGAGATGGTGATGGAGCATGCGTCTTCCGGATCTGCATCTGCCAGGCAGAATGAGGGCACGTATCTTTGGAAAGGGGTAGCGGTGATGTAGGACGTCAGGAAGTATGCCATGGATGCTTCCTGTAGATTTTGCCGCAAGGGATACGAGGGATCTCCCATCCGGGAGCTTACCAGTTGGCTGAACGGCCATGTGAGATGCTCAACGGGATGTTTGGCGCCCGCCTCGGGCTCTGGTACACGGTGTAGTGTTTTCCTCCTCGTTGGAGCCTTTGCAAACTTGCGCGTCGTGCGGCTCGTCTCATCTCGGACTCGCAAGGCGCATGGATCCCGATATCCGGAGCACTCTATTCCTTTGCGCTTGCATGGCGAGCATCCCGTGGGCACTCGGTCGCACTAGATGTCGGCATGTGTTAGATGGTGTCTTTGTCGCCTTCAAATTACCCTCGTTCAATGCCACGGATGGGAGACGCAAGGGGTCCTGCATTGTGCAGGCTTCTGAGGGTGCCGACGCAGGGCTTACTCTTAACCTCCTCTGTCGACATGAAAGACATGCCGCGGAGGGCCGTCCACTAAACACCATGAGTACAATCAATCTCCCCCCTGCCCTCTCCAGCAAGTATTGCGACGGGGTCAGGTGTGTTTGCGCCAAGGCCTGAGCAATTCGATGTTTCTCAGTAGTAGAGTACCCGAGGCTGGTTTCAAAGAAGCGGAGAATTGGCGGCGGGAGAGCGACAACTCATTCAGAAATCACGAAAAGGTAATACCAATGCGGAAGGAATCGAGAAAATCCCTGGGATTTTGTACAAACTGTACCATGGTGGTGGGAGGCAGCCACGTCACACAAGTCTGGTCCGTTTCTGAGCCTGTACAGCCCAGCAATGACGCCCGCGCTGTGTGTGCCCTTTTTTGAAGACGTGGTAGACGCGGTCCAAGTTGCAAAGGCGGCGTTGAATACTCCGTACTTATTAGAACCAACATATGTATTGCCAGCGAAGCTATCTGACCGGCCAATGATGCGAAATCGTGAGAAACAGCGCCGAAACGCCTGCCGCACTGGGGAAGGCGTCGCATGTCCGATCTGACTCGGTGCCCCCGAATGTGGAGAGCAAGCCACCGTCTGTTGCCTCTTTTTACAAGATTATGCTTTGCTACCTGGCGGCGAGGTTCCCATCAATCAGGCCGTCTGACTGTGCTATCCAAGGTTGGTGGCGCAGCCAAGATGATTCGCGTCACTCAGCCGCTTATTTCCAGGGCTTCGGATATCGGTGCCGGCTTGTGCAAGGACAGCTATATATCATACGGATCGAAAATCTCCGTTTGGATATTGCCAAGTTGGAAAGAGTCTTGACATGGACTATCCACAGCCTCTCTTGTCGGCCCTATGGCAAAGCGACGACGAAGGCCAACGAGGGGATGGCCTCGCTCCATGCGACAGATAAGTACGGAGTATTAACTGATAACCCGTGGCGAACTAGCAGGGTCCAACGCGTCCTGATGACTTGGTGGCCTTGAGCGGTTGTTGACGGGTGCTATGAATGATGATGGGGCCTTCTGCTCGGAGCCCGCACGCTGCACGGTATTCTGTGATTCGTAATTAGGAATCTGCTTCCTGTGCGGATTTGCTCCGGAAAGCTCGTGCCTGCGATGGATGCCTACAGCGAAAACACGAGGCCACTTGAAGGGAGGTGTAGATATTGGCCAGGCAGCATCAGAACCATACCCAGATATTCTTCCAGGCACCAGTTTCCACGATCAAGGGTCCAGAATATAAAATCCATGGTTTGTGTGCTTTACAGAAAGCTTTTCAAAAACCGCCCCTACAGAATAGAGACCAAGAACACACTCCATCTTCTCAATACTATACGCACCTCAACAATGGCCTCCCGAACCACCTTCACAGACCACAAGGACACCTACCAAGCCGCCTTGGTCAGTCTGTTTTCAGGCAAGCCAGAAGATACAGAAGGGGATTTATCCAAATTGCTTGCCCCCAACTTTACTCTGCGAGATCAGGATGGCACGCGCGACTTTGCGGCGTTTGTGTCGCACATGCGCTGGCTACGCCAGAATGTGCCCAGAGTCACTCTCACCATTACCCAATTCCTCCGCGACGGGCCCCAGGTAGCCGACAGACACGTGGGGATAACGACACTGGAAGACGGTACGGTTTTGAAGTCCGAGACGTTCATGTTTGGAGTCGTTGCCGAGGACGGGAGACTGGTCTCTCTCGTGGAAACCGTCAATCAAATCAAGGATTAATTAAGCAGCTGAGGCGCAGAGGGAGATGGGCCAAGATGAGCCCGAGCCGGGTAGACAAACTAGCAGAACATGCATGTGCACAAATTTCATGATGAAGCCTTGATTCGACAAAACGCCTAGTGCTGGTGGCCCTCGCGCCCCTTCCCCTTCCCACAGCAATCGCCCTCCATGGCAGCCCGTGCAAGCTGAGCACGGCTCAGAGGACGAGGCTCTGGGAGAAAATCGTAACCCATGAGGTCTGGCAGCTCGGCAGGCTTGACCTCTGCGCCCCCAACGCCCCCAACGTCCCGCTTGGCCACGGTAGACTTGTAGATGTTGTTGAGCCAGTTCCCGAGACGGTATCCTCCCTTGGCGATCTGCAGCTCGACGGTGTCAATGACAGCGTCGTAGTACTTGGGGTACAAGTCGCCCTGCTGCAGAGCCGCGGAGCCATTGGGCATCACGACGGAGCAGACAAAAGTATTGGCTTCCGAAGCCCATCTGGTCGCCGTCGCTATGGCGTCTCCGACATCATCTCCCCTGATCCAGTCCGCCGCCTGAGACTGGTAACTCCCAGAGGCAATCTGCTGTATCAAATCGCTGGCCCAGCTCTGCGCATTTGTCAAGGCGCCGCCGCCAACCAGCTTCTCGGGGATATACGTGTCCCAGTCAGCGTGCAGGTTGTCCTGGTATCCATCAAAGGTGACCTTGATATTGTTGCCGCCGACCTGGTAGGCCTCGTCGTGCAGAGGCTGCGTCAAGTCTCCGGTGAAATGAACCAGGAACTTGAGTGCTTGGGCAATGTTGTCCTTGCTCAGGCTCTTGCTCCCGACACGCTGGGTGTAGTTGGCCACGGCTGAGACGGAGCATCCTTTGCTGCCGCAGTCGCGGTTATAGTCGACGTTGCAGCTCGTCGGAGGACTGTCTTGGGCGTCAATGAAGTGAAGTGGCGCCGACCATTTGCCTGCGGCCGTGGCCCGATAGTCGTCCGCCCAAGAGGCAATGTTTGCCAGGTATGAGTCGGAGGTGTCGCCGAGGACACCCTGCGCCCTTTTGTGTCGGCAAGTCTCGATTAGCATCAGTCGGTCTAGGGGCATGGACAGCAAACGCTTGTAGCCCACTCGGATTCGAAAATCACCCCGATGGGGGCTTACCATGATGCCGTTTCGGGGGATAGATAGTGCTGGGCAATGTAGGCGACGGTGGCGTGGCCGAGTTTACCCCAAGCATAGGCGCCTTTCGTGGCGGAAAGACCAACTAGAAGAATACTAACAAGCGGCGACATGACGTTGTTGGCGAATACCTGTCGTGTAAATTGTCCTGTATTAGTTAACAACCACCTGAGTTGGTTGCTCGAATGGCCGAAAGAGGCAATGGAAACTGCGAGAGGGCTTGGCGAAAACACTTGGCAACAATCTTGAATAGCCTAGTTTGTACAAACTTCAGACACAGTCCGGGGAAACGTGGGGGCCAGTCTTGACTCTGATGGGGCGTTCAACGTTCATCTAGTCGTGCGATGAGGACCTTGACGGCCACGGTAGTTACTTATATATATTGTCAAAGTCACCGTCTGCCTATTGCTTCTATCAGTCCACGCTCTGCTGCTGACCGTCAATCCCGTCCGCAGCAGGAATAATCCGAGTTCTTGACGACCGTCCATCGACGCCAACGGGGTCAACACTGGGAGTAGTTCCGGGCTCTGAATGGTCAACGTTGCTGGGCATGCTGTGGCTACCACTGCCTTTTTTGGCAGGTCGGGACAGTCGGCACAGCACGGAGACAATGAATTTGTTGTCCAGCTGATAGGGGCGACGGCCATCTCCGCCGGCTAATACATTTCTGTAGCGTTGAACTATGGTTGCGGCATCCGAAACTCTCAGACAGTCTTTAGCTGCCATTTTTGGCGCCGGTCTGGAAATCGTCCGTATGACGAATGATCAGCCTTTATAGTGTTTTAGATCCTTGCACCCCCGCCATATATGCACACGCGTAGTAAATAACAACATGAAAGGACTTAGGAGGCAAAGGTGGAGGATTTCCCCGGGTTTGTTTCAAGCCATGCAGGCGTATTGGCTTAAAGGTCACTACGAGTAAAATGGCCACCACTCTGGACTGGGGTTTATGTCTCTACCAAACGCTGTGATATGGGTGGATCCTAATACCCTGAAAAAAGATGAACTTTTGGATTTTGCCAATTCTATGAAGCTGATCCCCGAGAGTCCACCAACGGGCTGTACCTTGGCCGGTGCCAGATTCAAAGAGATTAGGCAGATGGCCCTGAACTTGTCCTCAAAGAGGTTGGTCTCATGGGAACCCGTATATTCTGGTGCTAGTGGTAGCTATGGCCGTATGTGAGAGATGTAAAAGAAAAACTGGCTTATGAACAGTGAGTCCAGTGGTAACCCACAACAAAAAAAAAGGACAAGTACCATACGGCCGGTAAGAGTATAGCCAGCCCTAGGACCAAGTTGCGGTTCGGCATGACGAGCACGAACCTCGCGCGGGCGTCTTCGTCGTCGCCGAAAAATCTCAGGCTGCAGGGAGTTGGGCGTGCCGGAGATGTACAGCGTCGCGAGTAGGGCGCGAAACACGGCGATCGTCAGGGACGCCGGCTCCGATCTCGACAGTCTTCGGCGCGTTGGTGACAAGTTGACCTTTCTTCCCGTGCCTGCTCGATGGTCCATCACGGAGACTACTCGGAGGGCTCGAGTGTCCCTTGCCGAGTGGCTCTCCTGAGGCAAGCGCAAGCAAGGCAGCTGACAGCTTGCCTGCCTCCGATGTTGCGCTTTCCCAACTTTGTGACAATCTCGCCTAGTGCCATACCTACCCTTTGGTCAGTGACGTTTATTCTTTCCCTCGAAACCTCACGGAACACTTTACAAAGAGGAAATAATAAGCGAGCATGTGCTTTCGAAACGCATAAGTTCGCGTCCTTCTCGTGTTCAATTTTGCTTTCTTTTTCTTTCCTCTCCACGTATACATATCTCATTTTATATTTGAAACCCGCCGCTCATCACTGACGCTCAAGAGGTCAGGTTGGGTGTTGAGATTGCCAGGGCCCTGCGTGAGGCTACTAACACCCTGGCATGATCAGCAGGTTTGGTAAGTACCCGGCATAATTTTTGATTTCTTTTCCTGTGTCCCTGGTATTACACTACCTCCAGGTGACGCACGCTGCCTTTTTTTTTCATTGCATTCAGGGGCTTGTCCATCGATGCGAAGAAGAAATTGACCTCCCTTTGCCCCTTGCACATCATACTCTCCTTGTCGTGATTCTGGAGATTCCGTGGGCTGATGACCAACACTTGAGAGGTCAGAGTGGGTATCCAGATTGTGATTGATAGAAGGTGTTTTCCTGGCATAAAGTCATGGTGTAGTGGAAGATGAAACACTTCGTGTAAAGAAGATGAGGGTGGCTTTGGAGGGGAAAATCAATGCGCATGGAAAGGAACAAAGGGGCATCTTATAGGAGCCCTCAGGCTCTTATGTAGGTGATAGTCTCGACTGCTTTGCGCGCCTTGGGATGTAATTAGATGGGTCACGCTCCAACTTGGCCTCGCAGTTGCTTCACCGTGAAGAGGCTAATAAATGCACGTCGTATCAGCTAATCCCTTAGCCATTACCTGTCGCACTCGGTTCAAATCGCTAGGCATCATGTTAGTAGCAGTAGCAAGCAGTGCCTTGGTGGTGGCGCGGACAATTTCCAAATCCAAGTCTGGTCGGTATGATCGAATCGGCCAAACAGGCAGGGAAACACGCCTAGCAGGTGTGGCCGCGAGAGGCGGCGTCACGTCGCCGGTTCGGGCGGCAGCTTTGGAACAACCTTCACTGTTCGCGCCTTCCTCCGTGCGACTTGTCCAATCAATGACGCATTAGGTAACAAACTAACCTCGGCGGGGGTTCGCTATCTTTGCCATGTGTGGTTTCTTCAAAGTTCATGGCAGAAGCCAGGTTGTTCCCATTATTCTTTAATTAACGGACTATAGGATCTGCTTGTGCGCACCAATTACGACTCTACAATGATGGGCTCATGGCTGCTCCTCCGCGCGTCATTAGACTCATTACCATCGACTCGACGTATTGCGTCATGCAGTAGGGCCTGTCTCGGTGTCTTCCAGCCGCTGCAGGACCAAAAAAAGAGGGAACTTTTTGAACTTTGCAAATCCTTATCCTCAAGACATATACTGCAATAGGCAAGTCCTCAAACTCGAGATCCACTTGCAGGGGAACTCAGCGTAGCTTTCCAGTGATGCATACTGCAGACTCTCGCCTTGCGGCTTGACCGCTATCATCGATCCCACCCCGATGCAACGGAGAATCCGGCAATGATAAGCCGGGGACTGCGCTATCCTGTCATCCAGCCAGCCTAATGCCATCGGATTAGGGCATTTGTGGACAGCTCGCATCGCCATGCGTGAGTTGCCGGTTGCCCAAAAAGGTGCCCGGGTGGCCGACCCTTTGCTCTGACCAAAACGAGTATTGCATGTCGATGATCAGACTGCATGCTAGGGGCCTGTGCCTAGCGAAATGACGATATACCGTTCGGGGTCACACAGAGCTTAGACGCGGAGACACGGCTGACACGAGAGAGTAGCATTTTACTAAGCTGCATGTCCTCCACGGTATATAAATGCCATGGTTGAGAACCCGAAAGTCTCTTCCAAGCCAGCTCAAGCATCTCTCGGCCTCAACCGAGCTACTCATGATGAAAAACCAATTGGTGCTGTCCCTGTTGGGACTCCTGGTTGCCACCGCAGCAGCGCGCACTTCCGAGAGCCACCGCCAGCTCCTACAGCAGTTGCATGGAGATGACTTGGCAGACATCTCCGACTATGGCGAGGCTCACATTCCTCCGTCAGTATATACCCGGACCAGCCCTGATTCGGGTCCCCATCGCTTCCTGAACAACAAGACCGAGAGTGAGTGTACCGGGCCTCTTGAACTTGGTCTCCTGCGCCCACGGAAGGGGACATGTGATTTACCCGTGACCAGAAATTGATCATTGATGTTAACATACACGCTACAGAATTCGCAGTCAACGGTACGGGGCTCCCAGAAGTCAATTTTGATATTGGCGAGTCGTACTCAGGACTTCTGCCCATCAGCGACAAAAAGGACGAGAAAGACAACCTCTTCTTCTGGTTCTTCCCTACGGACAATGACGAGCACAAGAAAAAGAAGGAGATAACCATCTGGCTCAATGGCGGAGTAAGTCGCTTCTCCCCGCCCGTCCCCTAGAAAAAAAAAAGGAAAAAAGGAAGAGATCATCCCCCCTCTTTGTCATCACCGGGTCTGACTGAGACACACACCCCAGCCCGGCTGCTCGTCTCTCCTGGGTCTGCTCCAGGAGAACGGCCCATTCGTCTGGCGCCCCGGCACCTTGAAGCCAGTTCGGAACCCTTGGAGCTGGCATCATCTTACAAATATTGTGTGGATCGAGCAGCCCGTGACTGTTGGCTTCTCGACTGGAAATACCACCATCCACAATGAAGATGAGCTGGCCAAACAATTCCTGGGGTTCTGGAAGAACTTCATCGATACCTTTAGCATGCAAGGCTACAAGGTGTACGTGGTTGGTGAGTCGTATGGCGGATACTACGGCCCGTACATCTCCAGCCACTTTGTCAATGCCAACGACACCAAGTACTATAATCTCAAGGGCCTCATGGTGGTTGACGGCATCAGCTTCGACGGGGATGTCCAGTCCGAGGCCATTGCCGAGACGTTTGTCGAGCAAAACTACAACCTCATGCCCTTTGACGACCGCTTCAGGGACGAGCTGCACAACACTTCTAAGCGCTGCGGATACAGAGACTACGTCGAGAAGTATTACGTGTATCCTCCGGCTGGAAAGCAGCCCTCCTTGCTTCCCTGGCAGGAGAGGCTCCCCAATGGAACCCTTCAGTACAAGGATGGGTGCGGCAACCTGTGGAATAGCATCTACCGGCAGGCCAGAAAGGACAACCCTTGCTTCAACATATACAACATCCTGGATCACTGCCCAGATCTCTACGATCCCTTGGGTGACGACCCCTACTTTAACCGGGAGGACGTGAAGAAGGCCATCCACGCGCCTCTCCAGGTCGAATGGAGCGTGTGCGTCAACACGGCCTTTGTCAAATATGACGAATCTCTCCCCCCGTCCAAATACGAGCTCCCCAATGTCATTGACAAGACCAAGAATGTCATTCTCGTCCAGGGCGGCACCGATTTTATTCTTCCCGCCAACGGCGTCCTGCTGGCCGTTCAGAACATGACATGGGGTGGGAAGCTGGGATTCGAGTCTCGTCCCACCGATCCCTTCTACGTCCCGCGATACAGCACAGGCAGGGGGGGCGGCTATGGCACCGATCTGCCGGACAAGACGGGCGTTGTGGGAACGTCCCATCATGAGCGTGGCTTGATTGTTGTCGTGACCGGTCTCTCTGGCCACGAGGGGCCGCAGTACGCAGCCACGTCTGCCTTTAGACAATTGGAGAAACTCCTGGGACGCGTACACAGCTTGAGCGACACTACGCCTTTTACATTGCCGCAGCTGAAGAACGTCACGCAGGATGCCAAGCCGCTGGGTAAAGGAACGTTTCCTATTCCTTGGGTCTACGCCCCGGCTGAGGCGTAGGTAACGAACCCGTCTGAAGCAGGATTCAGAAGGCGTAGTATATCATATGAGCAATGCAAGTACGAATTATCCAGTATAGTCAATACCTGTCAGGTCTTGCATCAAAAGTAACAGCGCGCTGGGCTGCGACATACAAGTTCCAATTGCTCGCAAACGTGAACCGTAGCCTCTCCTGACAACGATTTCACCAATTACTAATAGGTCAAACGTATCTGATGTAGTTGTATGTGTAGCCAATGCGGAAAGGGAGTCAAGAAAGGCTATATATACTTCGCTCATTATGCACACTATATACAGATATCCAGTGCCGCATATGTACAACCAACCCCTGCGTCATGCGCGTTAGATAATCTTGATTCGTGACCCATCTCTTGATTCCCAGCAACGTTCTAGATTAGTCCAGGACTGGAAGCAGGCCCTGCTCCTGGGCTTCCTTGACGGCTGCGTTGTAAGCGGCAACAGCCCTGTCATAGTCGCTTCTGTCACGCTTGGTAGCATCACCACCGCCGAATTCCTTGACAGCCTCGTAGTAGACATCAGCGAGTCTGTCGCAAGCACCTTTGGCCAATTCGCGCTGGCATTGGTAATACAGGCTGTTTCACGTTCACGTCAGCCACCGTCCGTCTACTCACGTTGCGAACGGGTTCCGCAGAAGAAGAATGAAATGGCCACGTACTCGGACTTGAAGTTGGAGTCAATCTTGGCCTTGGCAGCCTTTGTGAAGCGCTTCTGAATGCGGTAGTTTTGGTAACCAAAGTCGTGGCGGTGGCACGCGGGGAGGAAGGGAAAGCCAAAGGGGTTGTCTGGCGAGCTGGTGCAGCCGTCTGAGGACCAGTCCAACGAGGGGGGGTTCTTGGCGTTGCGACGAGCCTCAAACTGAGGCAGGGTCGAGCTGAAGAGGAGCTGGTCGGTGACGGTGTTGATGTCCTGGCGCTTCGGGGTGGTGACGTCGGACGCGGGTGCGGCCAGGGCCGTGGTGGCCAAGGCGAGGAGAATGGCGTTGTTGAACTTCATGTTTGGTGAGGATGAGAGCCAAGCACAAATAGGTGGTATCCCCAAGAGCTATCAAGGCAGGAAGAAGTAGTAGATGATGAGGGAGGCCGGGAGACGGAGGAAGACGAGACTTGGAGGTCCTTTTGAGCCTCGATAACTCATGGCTCCCTCGACTTCAAGGGAACCGAGCACCATCTATATACTCCCGCATCTCAAGGCTCGACGAGATGGATAGACATGGCGCTCTCCCACACCCACGGACAAGGTTCCCGAATAAGAATATCGGTAGGCTCGGTTGGCGCCGTGAGCCAGTCAGGCCCGTCGCCATCTACACCACATGATTTGCCTTGCGAATAGTGACTGCCCAATCGAGCACACCACCTGTGCGAGACATGCCATGCTATTTGCCAATGGCCGATCTGTTTCCAATAGCTCGAGGAACCCGGTGGAGTGGCGAGGGGGCAGCCCGGCAGAACAACCAAGTTGCCGCCGATCTACTCCTCTCTGGTACCAGCATCTTGGGTTGAGACAGCAGCAGCCGCGGCGCCAAGACGGACGTTGAAGCCTACGAAGGGCAGGTGGACGAGCCGGTTGTTGGCGTCTCTCGCCTCAAGGGAGAAGTTGAGGATGCGAAAGAAAAGAAACCAAACCCACGGCCAGGGGACCCTGGGCCACATGAGTTCCCACGCCTACTAATCAAGCGGGGAATGAGATGAGCCGGAGCGGCGATCGACACAAAACCGGGCCTGGGTTGCTACATGGCAGTGATCACACAACCCCCAGTATTCTATTCCGGGTTATGGAGGAGCCGAAGGGCGATGGAAGGGCCAATTCTTTTGCCGTGGCCACTGGCGACAACTACCCAAGCCAAGCTGGACATGGTTGATGAGAGTGTCAACTGTCTCGTCGTCTGGCTTGGTCGGTGTCCGATTCGGCGATTTTAGGCGGACGGCCGCCAAGGGCCAAGACGACTAGATTTGGAGTCAAATTTTGAAAAATGTATCGACATGTGTATGTATGTACCAGCATCTACACCATGACCGCTGCCAATGCCAAGCATTTGCCTCCGCCCTCCCCGCAGAGATAAGCAAGGCCAAGATGCGGGATAAAGCCCGGCGACCACGTTGCTGGTAGCTGCGATGCATCAAGGTTTTGCCTCTAGAGTCCATGGGCTGAAAGGACCTTTTGCCTAGTCGGACACCGAGTGCGCCATTTCACCTGCGGGCCGGGCCAAGAGGCAACTTGTCTTTGGCGATGGGCCGCATGTTGTTGCCAGCATTCGTTTCATCCGGCCCTGGCCTTTGTCTTTGTGCCTTTTCAGACTGTGATTAAGTGAAATGGGCGACATGATGTGTCTCTCAACGTCGACGAGGGAGTGAAGCGCGAAGCGCGGGGCATGAGACGTGAGGGTCGAGGAGTCGAGGACGGTCAAAATACGGCCCGTCACTCACGGGGAGTTATGCATAATGAAGCAAAGTCAGGCAACTGCCAGGAAGAAGATACAGAGATGCTCCTTCCGTCTACTGTTGGACATTGGGGGCATGAAACACGAAAAATAAATCACTTGCGCCTACATAATTTTTGGTATGAAAAGAAACAAAACCAGCCTATTTTACAGTCCCGTCTCGCAGTGCCATGTACGCTTCAAGCCGTCATCGAAGCGCGTTTCTAATTTCGCTCTCGTCGAATTCCCCTAAGTCCATCATCTCCTGCTCGCCATTTCTGTACGCCCCTTTCAACAAGCCGACCACCTCTAGCGACATGAGAGCGGCAAACGTCGCCCAGATGAAGAAGCTGAATGCAACAATGGGCTGCGATATGGCGTATATGCTCTTGCGATTCTCAAAAAGATCGCGAAGTATCGACGCAATGGCTATGGAGCCGCCCAGCCACACTATCGTCGTCACTGCCAGCAACAGCAAGGCCACGAGGTTGTGCAGCGCATACGATAACACGAGCGGCGTGATGGAAATAAAGGCCAGGGCGAGGATGGACCAGACGGTGTTGCCGAGCATGAACAGAATCGATTTCGACGGGTGGCTTCCTTCAAGGCCACTTTCTAAGCTGGTCGCTTGATTTCCAAAAGTGTCAGCGGCGGCAACTTTGTCCACGGTCAAATAGGTTACAAACCATAGCCAGTGAGCCCGAGCTGAACAAACAGCAGGACGGCGAGGAATGCCTGTCCAAGGGCGATCAAGTACGGATTCATGATGCCAGTCACGCCGGTCAGTAGTTACATGAATAAACGCAACATGAACTCTTCATCTTCCGGCGCAGCCCCAAGACACGGCACTTCATCTTTTGTTCGTGTCTGGTCCCCGGGGCACATGTCTTGTTAAACCAAAGTTAGCAAACCCCCAAAACACCCACTCGACTCTCGAGTGATATCGCGCACAACCTCAAACGACACCGGTGGAGGCGCCCGCGAGCGGATTCGCAATGGCACACGCGGTCGGTCTGCAAGCGCCTCTTTTGGGCGCCCAAGGACGGTTCCAACTACGTCAGAAATCCTTGCTTGGCTCAGTTTCGGCCGTCCTCAAAGGCTCAAAGACATCGACTCGGCCAATTGATAATGACTCGGTGGAAACGCGACAGCTCCACTCTCGTATTGGCAAGTCCAATGCGCTCGCAAAGCCGCGTAAGCTGATACTGCATCTAGCCATGTTCAATCCTACATGCCAGCACTTGAGGAGAAAATACCGATGAATTAACCTTAATCATGCCTTTGTCATTGCGGCCCGTCCGCGTGGCGCATCACTTACAAGTCGAGTTGCACACAGAAATAAACCCACTTGGCAACGTACAACAGAAAAGGACGGAAAGAAGGCACTGCACTGCCATTCTACATACTTACTTGATTCATGCCGAGACACCTTGCTAGCCAGCTAGCCAGCTAGCCAGCCGTTTTACGAGGGACCAAGGTGGCAAACGTGAGACCTTTGTGGTGCCTCTGAATCCACGCAACTTGATCGACACGAGATACATATGCTACACACATATATAAGGAACTTGGCGCGATTCGTTACCCCAAAAGACCAGGCGCCGATATAGAATCGGACTTGTTTCCCATTTGCACTTTTACTAATTACCCCCATGGCGAACAAAACAGAGGCAGACATCAACATGGTGGAAAAGTCTCAGCCTGTCCCTCCCCCAGCCTACACACTGCGCACGACGCCAGAAGGACTGCAGACGGTCAAGCTTTGGATCCGTTTACTATCCGCCGCCATCTGCACAATCCTCATCGGGGTGGGAATCAAGCTCGGCGATGTCCCAGGCGTCATCATCATTCTACTTTCACCCGCAAGTATCCCCTCTCCCAAAAGTGGCTGCCGCTCGGCAAAGTGTTTCTTCTAACGGCAGGCAGGCCGGTGCAACTCTGATCTGGAATGTGGCCATGATTATGGTTCGATATTTTCGCAAAAACGGGCAAGACATTCACCCGGGAACTCGCGTCGGCATCGACCTCATCGTTTGGCTGGGGTTCGGCGCCGTTGCCGTCATGATGGCCGCGACGTGGTCGACATGGGACACCAACATGGCCGAGAGGTACTACGGCGGCGCCAACTTTGTCCTGGTCCAGATGGCTGTTGTTCTGGCAACTATTGAAGCGTTGGTGCTGCCGGCATCCGTTGGCATCGAGCAAGTCCGGCTAACGGTTTCAGATTCGTCCACATTGCCCTGTTTATCATCGCATGCCACGAAACCCACGTGCACAACCGATATAAAAAGTTTATCCGCAAGGTGAGGGCTGCTGAGAAGCACGCAGTAGACGGGGGGAACAAGGAGGAAATTTGATGCCGTGGTTTCCATCTTCTTTTGTGTGTGTGAGCACAGCAGAATAAGCTAGAGTAGCAGACTCATTGTGTGAATCGTGTGTCCCCGCTTGATAGTGGATGGCATCATTCGTGGTTCGCATGAATCTCCCGTTGGCCCCTCGTTGTGGTGAGAGGCAGGAAACATATAACCAGATCTGGGACTGATTAGCACGCCCTTTGCTATGACATACTGTAGCACATTACTATAATTAATGATTAGGCAAGCATATTCTACCGCCGACTGTAACCAAAATGACACAGAGTACACGGTCCGGTATGCTTTGGGAGTACTCCGTAGTGTACACAGTTGCCAGCCCGCGTTGGTAAGAAAATGACAGGTCAGGTAAAAAAAGAAACCTTCATCTTGTTTATTCCAACTGTAGCAGTGTGGACTGATGTTCTTTTGCAGTGTAACGACGAGCTGGATAGCCTGCCATTGAACATTGATGATGATGTTGCTCCTTTCCCAAAGCCCTGAGATTCGCACTTTCTATCTTATAATTATCATCATGAGCCATTGAATTCTGTTGCCGTTGAATAAACTGCCCCTGCATACCTAGCTGTGGTCGTAGCAATAATTTCAATCCTGTTCAGCAATGGCAGTCCACACGACATGACATGTTGAAAGCTAAAGTGTATTTCCCCCAGCCACCTTGGTTGTTGAGTCAATGTTGGGCAGTATATCGTTATGTAGTATGTACAATAGCCCAACTTGGCCCGGGTTCTTTACGACACAGAGCAGTTCGCTCCGAGTAGCAGCGGTTTCGAAGCACGTCAGAGTACCGTACCTAGGGAGTTGCGTGACTGTGGCCGCCTCACATGTCGTGTAAGTGGTCTGGACTCTGGTGTTGGTTGGTGGACCCAGCCAGTTGAGGCCTTTTCGTTGTGCCACATTCCGGAACAAGCCGTCGATACATACATGTGGGCAGTAGCGTTGGATTCGTTCCATTTGTGATACACTTGACAACTGCGCACTTCCTGCTTCAGTGCAAAAGTTACCATGCCATGGGGATAAGCGAACCCATCTGCGCCGTCTTGTTGCATCGCCAGCGTCGTCATCAGCCGCGACAGCCGCGGAGAATTGAGTCGACTGGTGCTACTTTTCATTATCAAAACGTCCTTGCCTTTTCCCGTGTGATTTTATCCATTGTGGCCTGTTGTCCAGCTGCGAATGTCGATTATAAAATCCCCGCGCTCTCCGCATCCGGATTATCGTAGTACATGCCAGTATTTACAAATAGAATACAGGATGGAAGGATTGAGAACATTGGATAAAACTGCCTAATTAAAAAAACGCCGGCAGTACTACTTCGGCGCGCGTTATTGGGGTGAGTGATCAATCAATCGATGGCATTAATTCAGCTGGCTCCTGCCTCAACCTCACCGCCACAGCTCCAGACCCCACTATTATCGGAAATGCGGCAGGGGCAACAGGGGTTCATCTCGGTCCCTCCTCCAGATGCAAAGGCACCGGCCTACCAGAGCGGCTGGAGACGGCCCCGCAGACCCGCCCGCACCCTGCATGCACCCTGCTCAAAACTCACCTCCCGGCATCGCCTTCCCGACGAACCAACCGCACCTCAACTCTTCAGCACTCTGTCATGCTTTCTCAACGCCATTTGCTCTCAGGGTGCCGGTGGCGTCGCCGATACCAAGGAACCCGCCCTCTTGAGGTGGTTCCTTGGAACGCATGACATCTGTGCGTCTCGCGTACGAGCTGAACACCAATATCGTCATCGCGGGGTGGCACGGGGTTGACCAGGAGCGGTAGTGGTTCGTCCCGATGCGGTTGTCTCACATGAACAAAGGTAAAGTGCATTCACTACAGCTATACTCTGTACACGCAGGTCATCTAATCGTGTTGTGTGTATACACTGCACATTGTACTGCCCTCGCCTCTCATCGATGGAAAAACATCCACTACCATCGACCCTCGCTGCTCAGTCCCTGCTCAGCCTGCTGCTGGGCATGGCGCTTGGCCTTCTCGCGATCAATGTAGTCCAAACCCTTGGTCTCGACCTCGCGGTCCACGAAGAAGCCAATGGCGCCGGCAAGGATCTCCTTGGCCTTGGCGTGGTCGTCAGGGTGGCCTGTCAAACTCGAGTATTAGCATTATCCACGCGGATCGGTGTGGTCAGATGCACGCCGACTATTCCGGACATACCGTTGCGGGCAACGTGATCCTCATACGCTTTGGCGGCCTCGAAGGCGGCAGCACCGCCGATGAGCTCGTGAGACCACTTGGCTTCGTGGGGACGGTTCGTCACCTGGTCGTAAGCCTGTGCCTGATCGGAGTCGTCTTGAGCACTGGTTAGCTTTGTTTCGACGACAGGATGCCCTTGCCACTGCAGAGAGGAGTTGAAAATGCTCACTATCAAACCAACCCATTGTCGCTGAGATGAAACAAACGTAACGTGGATATGCTGAGAGGAAAGCTTGGTGGGATGCGTAAATGATGAGAAAGGGATGTGACGGGCAGGGACAATGGGAGCCGCTGGGCTTTTTATAAGCCTCATCTCAGGAGACCAAACATCCATCCAGGGACCATGCGGGGCACGGAGTAAACGCCCACGTAGCAGCTAAGCCTCTCAATGACAGATGCAGGATAAGCAACGGCACCGAGGCCGAGGGCTGGGCCCCGCAAGTGATGTGATGTGAACTTTTTGGATCTGGCGTGTTGGCGTCATGTGGGCGGTGGTGGACCCTGGACTAAGTTGTGTGAAGCTTCTGCTCTGCTTCCGCGTTAATGGAGCTTGCGTCATGTTTTGGATGAGCGCATGGAACAAAGGTGTTGACTTTGAATGTTCCAACAGCGTTGGCCATTGCTCTCATCCAACTCATACCGTCCGAAACACAGCCTGGGCATGGCTCCCATGATTTGCCGTGTCATCCAACCAATCGATCGCCTTTTCTTACCTTTGTTTTGCTTTTCCCAAGGCAGCCAAGATTTCGCATATGCATATAGATAAGGTTGTTGAATGCCTGTTCCCAGTTCCCGAGCTTAAATGCCGCTTTATCCCGCCAAGCTGCGTGTACAAGTATCGCTGCCGCTGCTGCCGTTGCTGTGAGAGTTGACACCTTGGTCAAAGTCGCGCTTGAATAAAACCCACTTGATCGCCTCGTCTGCAGGTACCCTCATCAAGCTCACAAAATGCACCGCTGCATAGTTTTCCATGTCGAAACCAGATAGGCCAATCCCTCCATCGTCAGCAACTTGGCAAAGCTTCGGGCGACGTCGCTTCAAGAGACTAGAAAAGAACGTGAGCATCTTGTGCTCAAGACACAAATTACAAGTACCGTTGATGAGTTTTACTGCTAATTCTAGGCCCTCGTACACCAATTCGATCCCAGTTCTCCGCTCCGGCAAGCAAGGTTTGAGCTAAATACTAGTTGCGCCAGGGTTGCAATGCTCAAATCGTGTATCGGCCGCTCAGTCGCTCTCACTCTCATGGGTTTCCCAGATCTAATGGACTGTCGAGCTCAGTGGCGTGAATATGTCCTTCTTCTGGCACCCTCGACACGGCACAGACGCCATGGCACCATCGGGTCAGTCGTATGAGCAGGAAAGGTGCTTTCATGTCTGCCGAATCCAACATTTGATGATGATGGTAACAAGTGTGGTGTATGTTCCCGACGGTGAACTGGCAGTCGTCGGTGTTTTTTTCTTTGCTCTAATCCATACCATGCTTTCAATCACCAACCAAAACGGCTTATAGTGTCCATGCAAGTGTTTGCAACACATTGGAACGCTCATCACTGGAACAGCAAAGGGCCTAGCAACACGATGAAACGTTGTAGTGGTTGAACCGAGGTTTCTAGCTACATGATTTATGCCCAGGATAAATTTCGCTTCAGGCTAGCTATCATGCGTAAATTATTGAAATTAACCCAATTTATATTAGTAACCTTGTGGGTGACTAAAGCTACATATGCACAGCTTGTGCCAGCCGTACAAATTTACAATATAAAATACCAGACTCTGGGATAAACAACGGTAGCGGAGCTGCTCCAATAATAATCCAGCATGCATGTTGACTTGTGCATTTTGCAACCATGGCCCAGTTGTGCAACCGGAAAAAACTTATCCTGCCTGCCGGATAGTGACTCGTGAGTGGCACCACACCATCTCACAAGACCAGCATTTCATTCCATTTCATCAAATCGTCCACGGACGCTGGCCCGTCATCCAAGTCGACACTCATGGCGGTCGTACGGAAATGATGACTACTCCGTACTGGACCGGATATACAGCATGCCGTGCAAGAACCAAAGACAAAACAGAGGCCCGTCCCGTCCGTTCATGCGACAAATGTCTGGTCAATCGATTCCTCGGCGGCCGACGCCGAGACATGGCCAAGCCCGTTTTCGCAGCCGCCAAAGACTTGGCTTTGTTGCGTCCATGTCTAGACTCTAGACTCTGGTGTCGTATTGCATCGCGTTAATGCATGTCTTGTCCTTGGGCCCCTTCCTTTACGAATCCGTCGAGAGGTGCGCCGTGAACTCTCGGTCCTTGGCCCGCCGCGGCCGTGATTCGCTCGCATCAGCGGCAATTCATGCCTTGTTGTCCGCGACGGGCGTCCGGAATCCCGATCTGGCCGATGAGTCCATCACCAAGTCGTGGCCGTTGTTTCCCCAACAGGCCCAGTGACCGGGCCGATGCGTCAATGGCGCAATCCTCGTGCAATGCGTCAGACGTGCCTCGTGGCATCTGCAGCAAAACGTGACCCGGGGGAAATGATGCTGAGAAATGCGAAGCGCTCTACCCTCGTTTTTGGCCATGGCGAGATGGAGGCGCATGTGTCTTGTTATATTACAAGTACATGGCCACAGCCTGTTGCAACGGCCGATGAAACGCTCTTGCTCGTGCGTGAGAATATTCACAACCCTGGCCCCTTGCCTTTAGAACATTGAAACATTGAAACGGTAATCGTTGCTCCCACGAGTAACCCTTCTTCTTGTCCATCATGGTAATCATGCTTCTCACCCTGTTGTCCATGGCTCTACGGGCCATTTCCGGCCCAACATCGTTCCACGGCCGCAGCGGCAGCAACAACATGGAGAACCTCGTCACCTTTGGCGACAGCTACACCGACGAAAACCGCTTCAACTACTTCATCCAACACCACGCGGCGCCGCCCATCGGAGAAATGCTGCCCCCAAGCAGCGACACCTGGAGCGGCGGCTACGCCTGGGGACGGCTCGTCGCCAACGCCACGGGAGCAAAATACTACAACTACGCCGTCGCCGGCGCCATGTGCACCAACAACGTCGATTCCCGCGACCTGGACGCCATCAACGGCCCCTTCCCCTCGGTGCTCGAGTACGAGATCCCTGCCTTTGAGCAGGACACTCGCTACCCCGGCCTGTACCCCGACCGGAGGCCCGACAACACCGTCTACGCGCTCTGGATCGGCACCAACGACCTGGGCATCGTCGGCATCCTCGCCGACAAGCAAAAGGCGGGCACCACCATCACCACCTACGTAGAGTGCATCTGGACCGTGCTCGACCGCATCTACAGCGCCGGCGGCCGCCACTTCGTCCTGCTGAACCAGGCGCCCCTGGAGCGAGCGCCCATGTACGCCACCCCCGAGTCGGGCGGCCTGGGCGATACCCCCGGCTGGAGCAACAAGACGGCGTACAACACGACCGAGTACGCCAACAAGGTGCTCGAGTACACGACCAGCGTCAACACCATGTACGACTACGGCGGGCCCATGTATCTGCTCGCCAAGCGGCGCTGGCCGGGCGCCTCCCTCTCCCTCTTCGACACACACTCGCTCATCATGGACGTCGTCAACAGCCCTGCGAGTTACCTCGATGCCCCGGCCGATGTCGTCGCCCCGTTCCGCACGTGTCTGCTCAACGGCTGTGTCGACTCCAAGCATCCCCGGTCGAGCTTCTTGTGGTACGTACCATCCATCTGTCACCCATTGTCCCACCGCCATTTCCTTCCGTGGCGGAAGAAGAAGAAAACATTAACAGGAATGCAGGTTTGACGAGCTGCATACTTCAGAGCGCATGCAAGAGATTTTGTCCAAAAACTTCATCGACGTTGTGCAAGGCAAGTCCAAGTATGGCACCTACTACAAATGAAATGACATGCTGTGTATCTTTCGTCGTAGCGACCAGGATATAGAGAGTGGGGAAATAGCTTAGTAAATATGAATTCAAAGCATATACTACTCTAATTCGCATCGCTCTTTAAACCAATGTGCAATTGTCGTGCCGTTTTATTATGCAGATACGTACTTGCAAGTTCGCTTCCCGTTTTAGAAACTGCCCGTTTGGGCCACCGTTCGCCGCTCACCGTTCAACGGAAGAAAGGAAACAAGAAAAAAAATTATGGGGACAGGGCACACAAGCCGCCAGTGCCTGCCTGCCCGCCTGCCTGCTTAACGCATTCTTGGACAAGTTCAAGTCATCATCAATCAATGTCAAATTGCAAAAGCAAGCAAAAAGAAAGTCTCGAATCGCTTGCCCCGTACTGGAATCGAACCAGTGATCTTGTCATTACTAGTGACACGCTTTACCACTGAGCCAACGGGGCGTACGCGCGGTTCGATGACGAGGGGAGGAGTCAATACATGTTAAGAGGGGATACCCTCTGACCCACGACGGAAATGAGGGCATACAACTTAGCAGGTGGTGTGGCCGCCACTCACGAGCAGCGGGGGCTGGACCAAACTTCAATTTCGGCGCTAGTAAGTCTGTGGGAAACTATAGGCAGTTGCCTCAAACTAAGTAGGTACTTGAGTTGGTGAACAGGCGGAAGCAGTTTCAGTGGTTTGAGCATCATAGGACCATTGATGGCTCTCGTGAGCTTTCAAGCTGCGGGCAGGCACAACATCCCTGTTGTAACAACAACAACAAAAAAGAAAAAAGGACCAGTGCAACTAGTCGCAAATAAACAGGCTCTTCAATGGCATATGATTGTCCAGGCAAGTGAGGCGGTTTCTCATGTTCAACTAGCATGCTATTTATCCCAAAGTCATCGTCCTTGTACGAAAGGAACCCGAGGCTCAAGGTTCCCCTTTGTTTCCAAAGTACTTCATGTATCGAAAAACGTAGTGCCCCCATTTCGCATTAGGTCCCTCGTTGGGCGGGGGCGCCGGTGCATATTCATCCAAGTCAATGTCCAGAGAGCGTACGGTTCGAAATCCGCACTTCTCATACATCGGCCAGGCGGGCTCTGAGGAGTGAACCCACGCAAAGACACCTTGATCGTCGCAAATGTCAGTCCCCCAGCGTAACAGCGCAGAGCCGACGCCGCGGCCTTGGTGCTTGGGGGAAACCGACAGGCCAATGACGAAAAGACATCTTGTTCCTTCTGGCATCACCTCTTCCATCCATGCCTCCAAATCAGCCCCCGTCCGAGCTTGCAGTCTTGTTATGGGGTCCGTTTCCTCCTCTCTGTCAAGCCTTTCCTTTCCATTTCCGTCAGTGGCACCTTGCTCTTTCTTCTCTTCCGGGCCTGCCTTTGTCTCTTCAGGCTTCTCCAAAGGTAGGGGTTTGCCCTCCATCTTTGGCATCTCCTCGGGCTTGAACCCTCGAAATCCCCAGTTGCACACGCCCATAATGTCTCCGCTGTCCTTGTCGACGACTTTGATGGCAATACAGCGTGGGTTGTGCAGCATACTCGGCAGGCTTTCCAATGTCATCTTGTTCATGTCGTAAGGCTCCTTGCCCATGTTTTTCATTTGGGTCTGGCGGTCATCGACAAAGGCATCCGCAGTGAGCTGGCCAATCTCTGGCACATCGTCCAAACGGACCGCTGCTAGGGTGTATGTTGGTTTGGACATGGCGAGAGTGCGGTTGCAAGGAAATTAACCCCTTGTTTGTGCGTTCTGTCTGTGAATGGGGGCCTTTACAGCTTGATTCCAGGTGGCCGTTTATAAATGCTCGCAAAACAGACCGTTTACCGACTTGCCATACGTCGCGGCCAGTTGAGTCAACCGGCGAACGAGTTACCCTAGCGTCTCATTGGTGGCGGAGAGGGTGAGAACTAGAGAGAGAACTAGGGAGTAAGGGTTCGATGGCTTGCTTCGCGGAGCAAGCGTAGAATCGTCTCGGTATATTCTGGCCCGTCGCCTTGGATATCGCCAATGGCAACTACCTTGTCTCTGGACTTGATTCCACTGACAAACCGGAACCGCGATTTGGGGATGCCTATAGCATTGCTGAGAGCTTGGACAACAGCCTTGTTGGCCTCGCCATGTCTGGGCTGGGCAGCCACACACAGTTCAATCGCCCTGTCTGTGACGGCCAATATCCCCTCGCGGTCCTTACTTGTTCCTGCTTTGACACGGAGTTGAAGCTGAACAAAGCCGACAGAGAGCGAACCCGGTTTGCTGGCTATGAATCTGGCAGCAAGTGGCGAGGCCATTAGACAAGGCACTGTCCCCAAATGTAGCAGAGCAGAAGCGACAAGCTCAAAGGGGTCAAGTATGCGTGTGCCGGATCAGCCTCCGCCCAGTGCCTCAAACCGTCTGCTGCTTGTTGGTCCGGCTGGGTTCTCCGATCCGAGTGTGAGTGTGCCCGACAAACAGGGCCGCCGGAGTTGTGGCGTCTGTTGGGTTGATTGGTGAGGGGTCAATAGTACTAGATGCATGTGATGACATGGAAGCGAGAGTCAGACTCCAATTTTTGGGCCAAGATACGGAGGATATGGGGCAGCGGCAGGGTGTGTGATAAAGTGCGCCAAGGCCAACTTCGTCGGGCTGCTGGATTCCTGCTCCTTCCTCTCCAATGGCCGAGCCTCTCATGAGGCTCTGCCATCTGGTCCTCCGTCCTGCGCCCTGCCCACGCCGCCGCATCGCTCGTTCACCTCATCCTTTGCTCCTGAACAAAGAATCCACTGAAGGAACATTGAAATGTTTGAGCCCAGCCTGGTCCGTCAACTTGGACTGCGTTGTGCGGTGCAACGACCGAGTTTGTGGCTCAGGCGTCTGAATGAGGCCCCTCCAGTGCCGCGACGTCAAGACGCGTGGTTGGCGTCCCAGCGGGGTCTTGCAGGGCCGACAGCGCGCTCCTCAGCGGCGCCAGCCCCAGTGGCACCCCTCAAGCTGTTGAAGCTCTTACCCCAGTGCCGGCCTGCCCTGTCCATGTCTGGCCGTGGCCCGCCTTCCCTGCTCAGGTGCCATGTCCCAAGCTGCGTCTGGCCGTCGCCGCACCCCTGTCCGTCGAGTAGGCAATCAACTTTTGCATCATCGACATCATCTGCTCGTCTCTTCCGCCCCCGTGTGAACGCGGCCCAACGCCATCCCATCAGTCCTCCGTCAAGCGCCATGGCCTCGGCGTACAGCGTGTACCATGGCGCTTCCAACGGTTCCCCATACACCATTACTGCCATGGGTCGATGGTCCTGTCTGAACAAAACTCTGCCTCGTAAGCTCCCCGGTAGCATCGCGAGCTTGGTGTGATGAGCCAGTTTCACTGACCATGGACCAGCTGCCGACAAAATCAAGGCCCTTCACGTTTACGACTTCGACAATACGTGTATGTGCTCCCCCGTGTACGGTCTGCGTCGGCCGTCTAGCGCAAAGCCGGCCATGCTAATCATTCGTTTCCAGTATTCAAAACGCCGCTGCCCAACCCGGCTCTTTGGGCTGGTCAGACAATAGGACTCCTGGCTACTCAGGAAGCCTTCACTAACGGCGGATGGTGGCACGATAACCGTATTCTCGCCGCAACGGGCGAGGGTCTGGAGAAAGAAGAGCCTCGGGCATGGGACGGATGGTGGAATGAAAAAATCGTCCAACTTGTTGAGCTGACCATCAAGCAGCCTGACGCTCTATGCGTCTTGTTGACTGGTCGCTCCGAGAAGGGATTCAGCGAACTGGTCAAAAGGATGGTTGCCGCCAAGGGTCTCGACTTCGACATCGTTTGTCTCAAGCCGCAAGTCAGCCCGACGAATCAGCGATTTCAAAATACCATGCACTTCAAGCAGCTGTTTCTCAATGCACTCATGGAGACTTACAAGGGGGCTACTGAAATTAGAGTATATGAGGACCGGCCAAAGCACACGAATGGGTTCCGCGAGTTTTTCAGCGAGTACAACCGTCGACAGAACGCCTCCCCAACCCGTGGCCCTATCGACGCCGAGGTAATCCAAGTAGCTGACACTTCAACCACGTTGGATCCAGTCATGGAGGTTGCCGAAGTGCAGCACATGATCAAGTTACACAACAATTCCATTATGCGGCAACCGATGCACCTACGACCAAACAGACTGCAGATCAAGAAGACCGTGTTCTTCACGAGCTACATGATAAATTCCGAGGATAGCAAGAAGCTCATGAAGCTTGTCCAATTACCATCAGGGCTAGCCGGCAACGAGCTAAAGATCCATGCCAACAATATCCTGATTTGTCCGCGGCCCTGCCCCTCGAGCATTCTCGACAAAGTTGGTGGCATGGGGAGCAAGATGTTGTGGGAGGTAACAGGCACCGCGTGTTACGATAACAGCATCTGGGCGGCATGCGTGCGACCTGTTCCATCCACAGCAGCATATCATACAGACAATCCTGTGCCATTAGTGGTACTAGCCCTCAGGAAAGGTGCGCGACCTGTGGATGCTGGCAGAATTGAGCACTGGCAGCCGTTGGCAGCCGGGCAATCTTTTGTTTTCGAAACTACAGTAGGCGAAAAGGTCATTCTGCGTGTCGAGGACGAAGATCCCAGAAAGGACGAGTACGAGAGTTTATTTGCGAACAGGCATTCCAAGAGAAAACATGTTGGCGATGACGGCAGGGTTGCTAACAGCACACACGGACAATACGGTGGTCGTAATGAATCAAGGGGTTTCCATTCAGGCAGCCGAGGGGGAGGTCGTGGCAGAGCTAATCCCTCTCGAGGCTTCCGCGGCGGTGCAAGAGGAGCAGGCAGGGGTGGTGGGAGAGGCAGAGGTGCTGGTTATCACTACCGATCCCTGGACGATGTCGAGCCTAAGAATCAGCAACCCGGATATGGCCAACCAGTTGGCTACGACGACGCCCACCCACATCTGAACCAGCCGCAATCTCAGGCTCCGCCAACAGGTCCGAAAGCATCTCTCGGTCGTGGGGGATCGTATCAAGGACGAGGGGGCGGCCGTGGAGGTGGTCGAGGCGGTGGACGCCCCATGGGCGGAGGGCAGGCTGCGAACAACACCGACCTGCAAAACTACTACTAGTAGGGGAAATGAAGCCATGTTTTATTCGGGATTTCATGTATATCGGCCAAGGGAAAGAGGTGCGTCGAGGTTTTATTATTTTGTTTTCCGGGCGTCAAGGAGTGCTTCGATACCATCGGCCTCTGAAAGGAGCACATAGCGGAATCAGGGGATAATACAAGAAAAGAGTCACACGCGTAAAATACGCCAGTTTACGATAGTTTGCTTCCGCATTACAATTTTTTTTAGAGTAGTAAATGCGTCTATGATTGTTAAAGGGGCGTATTGTCTTCATCTGCAAGAGGTGCTCGGGGCATGTGATTAGACGGCTTTTTCACAATGCGTATTACTGCAAACCGCCTTGAGAGGATTATATTGCCCAGTTTTTAGTTTTTTTTAGTTTAGTTTTTTTCGTCATTGGCTTTTAGACGACCCGTATCATCTGTATAGGGTTTTTGGGGCCGCAACATTTCCGAAGTGCACAGACGTCCACTTACTCGTCGTCACTGTCGTCGTCTTCGTCGTCTTCTTCCTCGGCATTTTCCAACCATTCAATCAAGACCTTGCAATTCTCCTTTAGCGCAGCCATTCCATCGCCCTCGGCTGCCCTCTCATCTTGCCACCAACCGAGAATGCCATCTTCCTCCAGGATATCCAGGGTATACAGCTGCTGAAGCATTGCCGCCAGCAGGGTACTCAACTTGGCTTGCTCGGGATTCTTAATCTGCCGGAGTGCCTTTTGCGTAGCGAGAATGTACTCGGCCTGCTCTGTCTCCTCGCCGCCGACGCCGACTTCGTCGATAAAGGCCGTCGCGCCCTTCTTCGAGGTCAGCGCCTTCTCTGCCGCCTTGGTGGGTTCTAGGGAGCCGTGCTCCAGCGTCAGAAGCTCGGCGGCGCGGCGAGCAAAGGCCGTGGCCACGGCCTTTCGCATCATGCCATCGGAGGCGTCGTTGGCAAGACGCAGCCCCATGAATTCAAGCTTGGCGCCGTCAAAATCCCTCGTCTCGCCACGGAGTGTGTCCAAAAGGCCGTGTACCGCGTCAGCGTGGAACGACAGCTTGCCGGTGGAGTCGTCCGAGGCAAACGATGAGAGTCGCGACCGCGACGAGGAGGCGGCCCCGGGGGACAAGAAGCGGCCGTCTTCGTCGGCGTCCGAGTCCACATCAGAGGACAGTGTGGAAATTGACGACGTGGAAATGTTGAAATCGGCAAGTGAGTAGATGAGCGACCGTTGCAGACGCGAGGCGTCCCGTTCGTCCAAATCGTCCTCGTCGAGGTCAGCAAAGGCAGCGGCATTTGTGCTGGCACCGAGAAGCTTTGTGTCTCTGGAAATCGGCTCTCCGGAGAGTGTCAGAGCTGACAAGATACTGTCCTTGCTCAGCGCAATGTTGTCGTCAATCCGAACTCCAGAGCCTACCAGGGAACCAGGGGACAATGTGCAGCTCTTGCCAATGGATACCCAGTCGCCAATAATAGAGCGTGATATTCTCGTTCCTTCTGCAATTGTGGTGTTATCCCAGACTGCCGAGTCCTCCAGTACCACGTTGGCGCCAATCTTGCAGCCTGTGCCGATAAAGCAGTTTGATATTTTGGACCCCGGTCCAATGGTGGTGTCCCTGCCAATGACGGTGTTGGCCATGCGGGCGTCGTGTGTATGAGAAACGTTGTGCTCCATCACGAGTCCGTTTGCATGGCGCTGGTACGTCTGTTTCGGCACAAGATTATTCTCTGGAATGAATGGGAAGGTCCATCGTCCCAGAATATCACGGCTGATGGCATCGTACATCTGAAGGTTGCTTGCACGGGCCGCGTACCCATCCTCCAAAATCTCTGCGTAAATCATCTTGCCGTTCAGCTCCCAATCTTTCAAAACGCCGTGAAGAAAGTTTCTGCGGGGGAGCTCGTAGTCGAAACTTTCCGACCACAGTGCCAATACCTCTGGGGTGCAAATATCAATATGCGCGTCGATGAGGTCGGATCGAACTTCGAACTCGGTGGACAATTCGTCGGGGATGGCTGGGTCAAGTGCCAGGTAGTGGTCGCTTTGCAATGGGGTCATTTCGTCGTACTGCAGACATCGCTGGTTCTTGGCGTCAACTGCAAAGATCGGCGTGATTCCATTTGTCTTGGTACGGTGGTCCTCGTCGCCACCACTGCGCAGGACAACCGTCATGATATTGGCGGCGCTGGTCTCTCTTCGTTTACGGTGTGCTGCCAGGACCCCATCCAGCATGAAATTTGAAACCAAGTCTCCATGAACCACTAGGAAGTCACCGTCGACAAGGGATCGCTTGTCCAAATCTCGTAATATGTCACCAACCGACCTCGCATCTGACAAACGTACGAACTGGACAACCGAGAAGGGGCATGATCTCGACGTAGGAGCCCATCTGGACCGGCTGATATAATCTTCGACTTGGTCTGTGAAGGCACCGCAGTAAATGTACACTTCGTTGACGCCGTTCATGGCCAGGAACTCGAGGGTATACTCGATGATGGGCGTGTTGCCCAGTGGTAACAGACACTACCACCACGTGGATTGGTTAGCTACTTGGGTGAGGTGCAGGCATTTCTACCCATTCATCCCAACTTACTCTTGGCTTGTCTATCGTAAACGGCCTGAATCTGTCCTGAAATGAGTCGGCAAGAATCTAGGCAGAGCAACACCATGTTAGCCTGGAACTTGAGCCATCATTTGAGCATGAGCCCCGCCATCCCACGTACGACTGCTTGCAAGGCATCCTCGCCTTTGCTCTCGGCGCCAGACTTGGCAGGCTTCTTGCCCTTGGCCGCGCTGTTCTTGCCCTTGTGCGACATGGCCGGAGCGACAAGATGGAAAAGTTGGAAGTTGGAGGATGAACAGAGCTTGAGCGTGGGGTGAGAGGGCCTTTGCCAGCCCCAGTCCAGTCCTAGAGACGAGGTGACTCAATGCAGGGTTGCGGCCCGCAACTTTGCCCACCTCGGTGGCCTTGGGTGTGCGACCTCGGATGGCTACCCTATAGCATCTGCGATTGATGGATTTTAGACTGGATATCCTTGCGCCCCGGTAATCCATAGTATTATAACTACGGAGTAGGTCTCAACATTTTCAACACCTGGCTTGGTACGCCCAATACTCATGGGGCCTCATTTGTCCTTGGAAGGTTGGAAAGTGAAGACGCCGACTATCTGCGTTTCAACAAATGATCAATCGATTGATGCGGGGCAACAACTTGATGGCATTTTGACTTGTTCAAAGTATCTCCCAAATTGGGCGGCAAACGCAGTGCGTCAACTCATCAGCTGGAGCTGTCTAGAGTGAGTTTTGGGCGCACATGATGCAGCCGAAGGGTTAAAGAAGACGACGAAGAAGAAGCCATCAAACACTGGCGCAAGGCATCATTGGACATTGTGCATATGCGTCGCGGCAGGCTGAGCCGGAGAGTCGCGTATTGATTCTCAATCCCAATCCCGTGTCCCCAATGTGGTTTCACGCAGCGCAAGGCGCACACCGCCACCGCCCAAATAAGAAGTGGTCGACAGCCTTCTTTTTCGTTTTTTCTTCTTTTTTTGGTCTGGTTGCGTGTGGTTGTCCAGAATACACACATACATCGGTCTGCCTCGGAACGTTGGGTTTGAAGGGGTCTGAAGGGATTTCCAACACCAACATGGCCAACGGGGGAGACTAGCTTCAACCTGAAAATGAGAATCCGACTCTAGTCACAGCCCAGGGTCTGCATTGGGCAGAAGAAACGTCCAAGAGGAAGATGCGGCTTGTCTCAATTGTCGACAGATACCCTTTTGCGGGGAGATGCGGAGTAGCGTTGCCGGCGTGTTGGTATAATAGTACATATCAACAATGACAATCGATGATTCAACATGGAAGAACAGTGACGTATTCCGCACACGTGCAACTTTGGCATCTTTCTGCGGCGATATGACAAGTCGACATTTCAACATTACCACCAGGCACAAGGCCGCCGGTGTCAGGCGAAAGGAGCCCACCGGAGAATTTAGCACCTACGTTTACGGCGTAGCCCAGAAAAGTTTAATTAGAATAAGCCCATGGCCAGAAAGGCTTGTCTTGTCGGCTCAGGTCGTGGGCGCTGTTGGGTTCCGGGATGTGGCGTGTCCCGAGCATTCCTCTGGGGTGCAGGTGTGACGAGTCTCTCTGGTGGTACGCATGACGGACCGGGCCCTATTGCAGATGGCCCTACCAACAAGACGTCGAAATACTTGGGGGCGTGTGCTTAGCAGCATCGTGACATGTGGAATATTGGTGTTGACGACGGACTCAGCTGGACCAGCCTGGGAGCGAACAGAAGAAAGGGAGGGGAGGGGGCCGGGCCTAGACCACGGGGACAGCGGCAGGGCCGTCAACGGCATGCAAAAAGGGACAATGAGGCTATTACAGCATCAAGGGCCAAGGCATGACACAGGTGACGAGGGTGATGAACGATGGTGGAGTTGTCGACATTTGTATGGCCGAGCGAAAACATGGTCGGTCGTGATGGGCTGCGGGGGGATGTTTCGTTTCTTTGGGCCCACGACATTGGAGCTTTGACAGCATGGAGCGAGAGTTTCAACCCTCCCGGCGCTTCTCGTTTACTTGGCCTTTTTTGATTTTTGAAAAAGAAGAAAACCGAGAAAAAAAACTGGGGAGCTGCTAGTCGCTCGATCCGCGGGCACATCGGGAGGTCCCCAAGAGTATCGGAGCCAATCTTGGAAATCGGGGACCCGCCGCCATGGTGACTCTGAAAAAAAATATTTTAGACGCTGGCGCATGTTGCGTGTGATTGCATGTCGACTTGGATTGCAGCCCACGGAGTACGGAGTACATACATACTCCGTACAGTGTGTACCAAACTCGCAGCCGCGGGAGCGGAAATGTGGGAGGGGTGCGCAAGGTGGTCTCTCGGCTCGACGTGCCAGCATGATTCATTCGCGAGCACGTCAGCTGTGCACTGATGGACCGAAGCGTCTCAAGTGGTGCTGGTTTAACTGGCTCATGCCAAGTCGACTGACCGTACGGAGTACTAGCATAAACATCTACCGACTCCATGTCCAGTCTTCACACTCGCACGCACACTTGCGAGGGAAGAAGAGAGAAAGGGCAGAGGGGCCCCACTGTGCGCGGCAGAATGCGCCACACGGTCTCTGGAGAAAACGTCCGACGGTGCAACGGCCGCTCCGGAAAGGGAAGGAACATTGAAAGGGCACGAGGTGCAAAAACGAACAAACAAAATTAGAGGTTGGAGACGGTTAGAAATGGAGCACGGGCACCAAACCGGATGCTACTAGTAGTAGCACTGAGTAGTAGTAGCAGGAGTAGTAGTAGTCGCATTTGAAGGCCAAATCAGAGCGACAACTAGGCGAACATGGTACCCATGCACGGCAGCAACTGGTCTCACAGTGCTCGAGTGCATGATTCGTCACGGGTAGTACAACATACATATGTACGTGAGAAGAACAAGGGACGGGAGACGGGAGGCGGGAGGCGGGAGGGCCGAGTGAGCAGTCTGGAGCCTGGAGCCTGGAAGCCTGGAGCCTGGAGCTGGTGTCATCTGGTGGATGTTTTGGTCTCGCCATCCACCAACCAAATGTGAAGTATATGCAACTGCAGTTTGTAGTCGTGCGCATGCGTATTCGACCACCCGCTGACCTCGATTGACTCAGGTTGAAATCTGTCAAATGCGAGAGATCCGGCAACCTCGGGATCGAAGCTAGGAGGATTTTTGCTTCTTGGCTGAGACGCCACGCACACGCAATGCCCCGGTTGTTGGCTGCGCAGCTCCAGTTGTTGTTTAAGCGCGCCGTCATTCTTCATCATAGCTGTCGCATCACATCCGAACAAGAGCATCTGGCGCCCTACGTTCCCGGACTAGCGAGCACACAAGACAAGTACGCGGCCATGTTGAAATAAGATGGGAAACGTGCTCGCACCGCCTTGTCGATTTCCATCTCCAGCTCCATCGACCGCGGAGCTTGCTGACATGGGCTCATCCAGAGGGACAGGGATATGACGCTTATGTCTGGTAGTATAGATTTCGGCACAGGGGTAGTTCCTTGGTAACTAACTCTGTAGTATTAGTACTCCTGCCATTGACGCATTTTACCAGTGGCTAGTCCCCCAGACTGAATTGGACGTCGTCTCGAGATAAACAGGCGCAGCTCGAGGCGTGCGGGCGCCGGTGATCAATCCGCGACATGACAGCGCTTGAGCTGGACGACTTGGAGTCTGGTGCTGCAGTTAACTGGTGCAGCACGCACAGAAGCAGAAGCAGAAGCAGAAGCAGAAGCAGAAGCAGCTCTGGGCTTGGCCAAGCAGCAAGACTCCTCTTTCCCTTATCTTGTCAATGCCCGTACTCCGTACAATAAATAGATCTGGGGCAGGTCACGTATTGCTCAGCTAGCCGAGGCTTGTGGTGACATTCGATAGGCTTGGATCTACCTTAGGTACTTAAGTGCCTACCTGTACCTTGGACTTCAACACGGGTTGACCACTTGAGCACATTGTCATCTACTCAAGTAAGTAGTAGACGAATTTGCGTTTCCCCCCCAATTTATTTTACATTTCAGCCGTTCAGAACGTTAATGGCTACCTGCTCAAATACAAGTAGGTATGGGTTCATTGATGTTCTTGGCAACGTGTCGGAATCCTGTGTCTGCTTCTGCGTCGTCGTCTGCGCCGTACGACATTTCACTACACCATTTCAAGTTCAATCCCCATGGCCAAAGTACCTCCCCTGGTACTGTCGGGGACGTAGGGACGTCTTCGCGCGACGGCAGCGTGGGTGGTCGGGGAAGTACTTCCGCTCCACTCTCGACTTGAATGTTCCGCGCCCGAGTTAGCGCCAACTGCAAGTCAACTGCACGTCAACACTTGAGCGCCAAGCTCTGGAGTCGACAAGCTTGGTGGCCGCACGACTGGACGGACAAGATCGAGATGGCCAGCCCTGGACATTTGGCACGCCATCTTTTTCGCAACTGACAGGAGGCTGGCGATCCCACGGGTCCCATGTTCCGTGTTCGATTGCACGAGCAGGTGGGCAGCTTGGCCTGACACTATTCTGGTACCTCAGGTCCCTCCTGCCTTGGTATGTGAAATGTTGCGCACACTTGGTTACCCGACTTGACTCGAATATTTTCTCAAGCAACGCCCCACAAACATCGACAATGATGCATTTGGGTAAAGCATAGACTCAGCGCTGGGCAACATGGAAACGAAGCCCACCACGTCTGTCCGCCATGTCCTTGATACCCAGGACATACTTTATCGATTGATCCTTGCCGGCTCCGGTGCCTCTGGCCCGGTGCGCCCGCCGCCAGCCCCAGCTGGGTCCTTGTCGCCACCGCAGTCGTGCATTCGGATTTTGCTACGGAATACTTGTAAAAGGAGGTTCGGCAGGCGTTTTGTTTTGTCAGCCGTAAATTAATTAATTAGAAAAAACCCCGCCTGCACTCTAGATATTAATGCATTATTCATAGCAACTGGCACTCCATACGGTATTCGTGCTCTTTCTGCATACCGTTGACACAAAGACCTGACTGACCTGACTTCCCCTGGCAGTCATGGCTCCTCAAAGTGCCCTCGTCTCTCAGTGGCCTACACACTGTACCCCGGCCCACCTCTTGTACTTACCAGGCCCCCCAGTTGCCATCCATCCGTCTGGTTAGTCGAATGGTGCTTTTCCACAATCTAGGCGACTCGTTCAAATCCACAATCTCACTTTGTTCATCTGTCGTCGACTCTCCCGTCTGTCCCTCAGTCCCTTCACCTCACCATCGCCAATTCCTCATTTTCGCGTCAAGCCACGACCCTATATACTGCCCAGGCC